CTTTCACTAGATAATGCAAGTAATAACAATGTAGCTGTTGATTTTATCAGATCATCTTTATCATTACCATGTCATGGTGATCTTTTTTATATTAGGTGCATCTGTCATATTTTAAATTTAATTGTTCAAAGTGTATTGCCCCGCCCGGGTCCCGGTTTTGCCCCGCCCGGGCCGGCCCGGATAGACAGGCCTAGCGATATTTCTATCATCATTTCTCCTACTTCTTCTTCTCTTCAATTCTTCCTCTCTCTTTTTTCAATTATTTTCTAGCATCAGCGTTTCCTTCAATTATTTGTTTCTTCTTTTCGAACATCGACTATGTAAGGTATATGATTGGTAGATATGAGGTCACAATTATTTCAGCCTATAGAATTTATTTTTTTTATATTTAATTATTTTTTATAGAACAGCTTTTAGAAGTTTTTGATTGTGTACACGTTGCCATTATTTTTATAACTGGCATCCGCCAAAGACTTAGGCTATCAACAATTGTCACTTTGCAAATCCTTGCAAGTTCTAATTTCATCGCATTATTCATGAGCAACAGACTACCCTGTAAGTATCCTAAACAGTGTACACGGCTCATTAGTCTCATCACGATCTCAGTGCATAACATGAGTGCGGGACGACCTACCATATAAGTATCCTAAAAGACGGCTCACAAGCCTCATTGCACTCTTGTGCGGATGGATTGCTATACAAAATATCCAAACCCGACTTAATGACCTATACAAATTGAATATCGACGCACTACCCCATGTAGTACTGAACTGAGCTCATCAACAATATCTATATCGTGAAAATAAATTGTATATATCTAGTATATCGACACACTATTCTAAATAGTATTGAGTTGTGCTCATCAACGATATCCAACATGTGTATAAACAACTCCAATTCAAGTGTAATTAACTCAACACTTATCAAAATCCCCATTGGGATACTCATGTGTGTGCAACGACACTGTACTTATGTACTTATGACTGTACGTGTAAAGTAGTGGAGCCCAAACCCCACAAACACAGCCAAAAGATGAAAAAACAACATCCAAGAAGCAAAAAGGAAATAGACCGGTCGACCGCCCCTAGGGCTCCGGTAGACTGGACTGCGTATGTGCACAACGTGCACAAACAAGGCTTCATCGGTCGACCGCCCCCTAGGGCGCTGGTTGACCGGCCAGAGGAGATCCTGGCTCTCAGATTTACAGGTTTTATCTTTTAAAAGTTTTGTAACTTTACATAAAAATAAAATTTATTTTATTAACATGAGGCATGTAATAAAATTAATACTTTCAGATATGATTAACAGGGATTTTAACAACAATATTTAAATTCTTGATTTAATCTAATTAGGGTTAACATCCTAATTAACCAAATTTCTCAATTAACCCATAAATTATCAACATGGTTAACTAAACATGATAAAATCTAAAATATGAACCTAATTACTTAAGTATCACAAACCTAGGTATAAGCATAATTAACTACCATGATAATTCAATAATTTATTAAACTATGGTTTAAACATGAGTTAAGCATGATTAATAGGCTAAAAATGAAATTAAAAGCAACCTTAATTATCATGATCATCAAACTAATAAAAACAGTGAAATAAACTTCATATCTATCATTAGATTAAGATTTAGCCTCAAGAATCTAATCTTTTTCACAAGCATGAAAACATCGATTTAAACATCTTAAGAATCATTTAAATCTAAAGGGATAGGTTTGGATGAATATGATATTGCCTCAAACACCGTGTTGAACTCCTCAAACATGTACGAGCAGATCCAACTTCACAAATCCCATTCTCTCTTGCCACACGTCGAAGATCTCGCCCTCGTGTCGGTATTTTGCTTCACAAATCTCTCAAAACCCACAAGAAATTGATCTAGGGTTTTTGAGGGGGGAAGGTGGCTGCTGGGGTTCAGGGATATGATAAAAGAGAAGAATTTTTATGAAAAACACAGGTATTTATAGAGATAAACCTGAAACAAACTTGTTTGACCGGAACCAGGAAACCTAGTCTGACTAGGAAAATAGTCTTTGATTTTTTGGCTGTAACTTTCTCGTTTGACTTCAGAATGAGATGATTTAAGATTTTTTGGAAAGATATTGAAGAGATTTACAACTTTTGTCTTTTGAGTTTTTCCAAATTTGAATTACATTGGTGTGTAAAACATAAATACTCTTAACTGGTTGTTTTTCCAAATTTCAGGCTCGTGCATGTAGTGTATGATTTCACTCCTATATTCACATATATACATTGAATTGATCTCAAATTAATTCTTAGCATACTCAAATATCAATAAATATTATTTATCACAATATAACACATTTATTATTATTTATCACCATATTTTCCAATTCACGGGGTTTTACATCCTCCTTACGATGTAGCTTATTCCCACAGTGACTGCACAGACAAAGGATCATCCCATGTTGGATCCTATCGTGTTCACGCACAAATTGTATGAAAGAAGCAACTCCTTAAATGAATTTAGCTTTGTGCATTTTTCATGATTCACATACATCCAATCCTTAACTATAATATAGTCACGTGCCATACCAACCTAAATAAGTCAAAGTTAGCGAAAGAAAACTCTTAGAATTATGCATGCTTGCATTAAAGAACAAAATTGGTAATCCACAAATAGAAAATTTAGGATACAATCATAATAGAGACATTATAAGTTAAAAGTTTGGGATATTTTTTTCATCAAAAAGTAATTGATACATTATCTATGCAAGCATATATTATGAACATGCACTTTGTGCGGTCATTAATATCCTAGTGTTTCTGCATTAAACTGCAAAGTTTTATATATATAGGAAGATGGATGATTCTCAAGGAAATACACAGTAGGGTAACTATAATCTTTTGTTTTTCTTGAATATTAATTGGAATTATATGTAAACTTAACTAAAAAAGAAATGAACAATAGTTAGAACTAAAAGTTTTATGAGTAATGTTTTAAAACTAATGAATGATGCACATGAAGAAATCTAATATGGTAACTAGTAACAATTTTTACTTTATTAGAAAACTATGGCTTGCGGTCATTGTTTAAATTACCAATTAAGGACCCTTAAACATATAATCTTAACTATGGCTTGCGGTCAATGTTTAGCAACAAGCAAGTAGCTTAATCAATCTCTTGCAGTCTAAGTTTGGGGTGGTTCCTTAAAAAACACCCTATTAAAATTTGTTACACCACACTATGAAGTGGTGGGGATTGAGTAGTTGAGTATGTTTTTAACTTTTTATATCCTACCAAAAACACCATTTTAAATCCATTCGAACACAAAACAACTTTTTTTTACACTTTTCTGATAAAATGTTTCATCTAAATTTTTTTAATTATTCCATATTTTTCAAATAAGTTTTTTTAGTAAACATATTAAGAAAATTTTTAAAAACTATAAAACAAGTGAAGTTAGACATAGAAGATGCCAACTTTTAATGGTTTAGTAGTGACTACGATTAATAATATAATATTTGAGTTAAATAAATCTTTATCCCATTTATATATCATAGTGTGCACATATAGAACTACTCAAAAGGGAATCAATTTACTATTCAGGACCCAAAATGGAATCAATTTCAGCAGAAAGTGATTTATGAGTTTAAGCCTAAGTGGTGTGACCTGTGTAAACATGTGGGCCATGACACAAGTTCCTGCAGGAAATTTGTGAGGACTCAGAAATGGATCCCTAAGCATAATCAAAATTCGTTGCCTACTGATGCTAATAAGGTGGAGGAAAACACCCAGAATGTGAATATAGTCCATGAACATGAGAAGGTGTTGTTAGGAAAGGAGTTTAATCTGAACAATGGATGTCATGATGCTAGACATGAAGGCAAAAATGAAATGAATGATGTTCCAGTTCAATCTGGAATTGGAAGTGCTTTGGATAAAAAAAACTAAGGATGTTCAAGGCAGGTTAGGTTCAAAATCTGGGCAGCAGGCTATGCATAAATCTGTGCATGTTGTGTATGTTGCACAAGCTAGTTCTGGGAGGAATTTTGATTCTAAAGTTAGCCAAGGGGAAAACTCTTGGTATCAGATTTAGAAAAACAAAAATAATAGGGCTTCTATTTCTACCAATTCCTTTTCATATCTGGATATTTTGGACATTGATCCCTCTTCTATTGATAGAGGGGGAGGGGGGAGTCAATGATGAATATTTCATGTTGGAATGTTAGAGGACTAAACAAGTCCTCTAAACAACATTTGGTTAAGCTATTTTTATCACAATATCAGCTTTCTTATCTTGCTTTACTTGAAACAAAGATTAAGAGGAGTTTGTTATAGGCTGTTACCAAAAAAATTGCTAAAAACTGGAGATGAGAATCAAATGTTTGTAACCCTGGTAAAGTCAGGATTTTGATTATGTGGGATCCAAATATCATTGATATTCATATTATCAAAATATCTGATCAATGTATCACATGCACAGCTAAAACATTGGATGGGAGGTTGGACTGTGTAATTTCCTCAGTATATGGTTTTAACCAACAAGAGGCTGGAAAGGATTTATGGCTTGAATTGAGAATGTTGCAACAATCAATAGGAGATGTTCCCTAGCTTATATGTGGTGACTTCAATAATGTTATCAGTAATGAAGAAAAACTTGGGGCTCAGCTATTACAGAAAATGAAGTAAAAGACTTTAGGGATTTTATTGAGGATTGTTATTTAAATCATCTTAAAACAATTGGTTGCTTTTATACCTGGAACAATAAACAGGATTGTGACTCTAGAGTGCAGAGCAGATTGGATAGAGCTCTAGTGAATTATGCTTAGGTTAATTTGTACAATTCCAGTCAGGTTGAATTTTTACTACCAAGCTTTTCTGATCATTCCCCTGCTTTGGTATCTGTGTATGATGATTGCTTAAGAGGGAAGAAGTCATTTAAGTTTTTTAAAAGTGGACAACACATGCAAGTTTCCTCCCTACAGTTTCTACAATCTGGCAGTCAAAGGTAAAAGGTTGTAGTATGTTCTCAGTTTGCACAAAGCTGAAACAACTGAGAGGGGCCCTTAAAGACATTAATAAGAAGCATTTTCACAACATCAGTGAACAAGTTCAAAGAGCAAAAGCTGCATTGGAGGAAGCTCAAAGAAATCTATATATTAGCCCTTTCAATCCTGAGTTCATTACAAAAGAAAGAGAGTGCATGGCTACCTACAATAAACTCTTGGATTGTGAACTTTCTTTCTTACAGCAAAAAGCAAGGATAAGTTGGAGCCTAAAAGGGGATAGATGCACTAATTTTTTTCATTCTGCAATTAAATCAAACAGGCATAATAATAAAGTGTTGGTGTTATACAATGGCCTAGGTCAGAGAATTTCTGATCAGGAGGAGATTGCCAAAGAGTTGGTGTCTTTTTACAAAGACCTGATGGGAAAAACTTCTGTCAATCTAATACCTGATATTCAAACTATTCAATCTGGACCCTGCTTGATAGATTTACAAGCTCAGCTTCTTTCCAGTCCAATAACTAAGGATGAAATCAAAGCAATTTTTTCTATGGATGATAACAAGTCTCCTGGTCCTAATAGATATGCGGTAGCATTCTACAAATCATCTTGGCCTGTGATTGGAGATGAGGTCTCATTAGCTATTGAGCAGTTTTTTAAGATGGTAAACTGTTGGGAGTGGTAAATTCAACTGCCATCAATCTAATACCTAAGGTAAAATGTCCTAAATCACCTTCTGATTTCAGACCCATCTCCTGCTGCAATTGCCTCTATAAATTCATTTCTAAAATTCTAGCTAATAGAATCTGTTGACATATTAGTGATAGATAGGGTGTTATTTGTAAGTTGTGTTGTAAGGGCCTATATAAGCCCATCTTAATGGAGTAATAATATAGGGTTTTAATTCTATGTGGTATCAGAGCAAAAAAAAAACCTAGCCGCCAAAAACCCACCCCCTTCCCCCCTCTTCCGGATCCCCCCCCCACGAACTCCCTCTCCACCTGTAAATCCCCCCTCTGCCTCCCCCTCCCACACCTACAACCCCCTAACCGAACCCCTCGTAGATCACCCCCCCGACCCCCTGTTCACAACCAGGCCCCACCACCGTGCAGAGCCCACCATCCTGACCTCCTACAGATCACCACCCCCCCCACACACACACACGATCAGCCCCTGTAGATCACCCCCGACCCCTGTTCACAACAGCCCCCCCACCACTACAGACCCCCATCCTCCGACCTCCTGCCAGATCACCAACCCCACCCCCTCCCACGATCAGCCCCCCTCCCCCCCCCTCGACGAAGCCCTCCTCCCCTCAGACCCTGACCCCTACCCCCCCCTCATCACCGTGTCGAACCTCGAGTTTGACATGGATTCCCTCGACTCAGTCTTTGAACTGATGACAGGAAGAGTATATATCTCACGGCGATGAGATATATCACTATTTTTATTCTTGTTTCCTCTGAGAAACGAGAATTTGTCTGAGATCTTACTCTTGTTCTGCAGCAGAGGTGCTGCCGAAATTTTCACTGTACATAACAAGGGTCGGAAGAGAATGTGACCAGGTGTTGGGTCTGAAGCTTGATCAATGGAGGAGATTATCAATAAGTTGAACTCTACGGAGGTGTCAACTTTGATGAAGCTGATGAAGTTGTCGGCTGGTGAGAGCGCGACAAAACCATCCAAGAAGTTGGAACTTCCTACCATAGATATGAAGCTTGATGGACCGGGTACTTACCTAAGCTGGTCACGGCGGGTGAGATACACCCTTGTAGGGAGGAACCTAGAGGGTTATCTGACAGGAGAGGTGACAGAACCGGATGAGGACTCGGAGGGATGAGATGAGTGGAAGGCCACTCATATGTTGGTATGCATCTGGCTCCTTAACTCGTTAGTCCAGTCGATCGTCGCCACAGTGGATGCTATTGAGAAGGTGAAGGACGTCTGGGAAAAGTTGAGAAGGACCTATGATGGAGTGGGGAATAATCTGAGGGTGTTCCAGATTAAGGGAGAGATCGATGCCACAGTCCAGGGAGATAGGACTATACAGGAGTATGCTACTGAGCTGGAGCGGCTGTAGCTAGATTACGATCACTTCTCACCTCGGGCAAGCTACAAGGACCTAGGATGTAAAGAACGAGAGGCCTTTCTACAGGAGAGGACTATGGTGTTTCTCAAAGGATTGACATCAGAGTTCGCTCAGCGAATTGCCTTGCTGCTAGCTCAGCCAAAGATTCCCACGCTGTAGGAGGCTGTCTCCACTATGATCCAAAAGGAGACTCGCATTCAGCTATAGGCGGGGACAAGTGGACTTCTTGTGGTGAAGTTAGCACTGGCAGCCTCTAGTAACACTGGATCTAGGGGAGAGACTTGACAGTGTTACAACTGCGGTGCGGTGGGTCATCTAAGGCATGCTTGCACCAAGCTACCCAAGGAAGGAGATTCGGGTGGACGTGGATAGTTCGGAGGTCGTGGTCGTGGCCGTGGGGGTCGACGAGGTGGAAGAGGAGTAGGGAATCGGGTGAATCTGATAGTAGCAGAGGAAGAAGAAGCTGAGGTGGTCTTTACTGAGGAGGACCGTGCTCTCCTGGCGATACTCAGGAGGAAGCAGCAAGTAGCAGGGGATGGGATTGAGGAGGCATCCACTTCGTTCTTTGCCAGAGGCAACACTGCTACCTATGCTCATCTGACCAAAGGTACTGATGACATACATGCTCTTACTTCTATGTCTCCCGACAGATCATCAGAATGGATAGTCGACTCCGGTGCATCTCGCCATGTGACAGGTAATGCTAGTGAGTTCTCATCATATACTCACTTAGCATCGCCTGATAGTATTCAAACAGCTGATAGTACATTTTAGCCGGTGGTTGGTAAGGATACAGTCAATTGTACTAGTTCTGTAACTTTGTCTAATATTTTGCATGCTCCTTCCTTTCCAGTCAATCTTTTGACCATTAGTTATATCATCCTCCAACTAAAATGTATTGTTTCTTTTGATATTCCCAATGTGATTTTTCAGGAGAAGGGGACAAGGCGGAGACTTAGGACTGACACATATCGTAGTGGACTATGGTATCTAGATCGTGAAGGGCTGGATTCAGCATTGGTGTTAGTCGTAGAGGAAGCAGGAGTAGGACCTAAAATGAGTGCTGAAAATGAGTTAATACTTCATCACCAGCGTTTGGGACACTCATCCTTTAGTGTTTTAGGTAGATTGTATCCTTTTTTATTTGAGAAAGCAAATAAACAGAAACTTGTGTGTGATGCATGTGAGTTTGGAAAGCTTACTAGAAGCTCTTATGTTAGTTCTGGTCATAGAAGTTCTCATGTATTTGACTTGGTATATTCAAATGTTTGGGGGCCTTGTTCCACAAGTTTTATGAATGGATACAAGTATTTTGTTATATTTATTGATTGCTTCTCTCGTGTTACTTGGTTATACCTGATGAAGAATAAGAGTGATGTGTTTGGGTGCTTCCAAAACTTTCATAGGATTGGTCAGACTCAATACGGAGTAGTGGTGAAAGTATTGAGGTCAAACAATGGGACAGAGTATACCAACAGAGCGTTTGAAGAATATTTGTCAGCTTAGGAAATACATCACCAGACAACCTGTCCATACACACCAGCTCAGAATGGGGTAGCGGAAAGGAAGAATAGACATCTTTTAGAGGTTGCTAGAAGCATGATGATCTCTATGAATGTCCCAGAAACATTAAGGGGGCAAGCAGTATTGACCGTAGCAGCGCTGATCAACAGAATGCCCTCGAGAGTGCTGGATTGGAAGTCTTCGTGTGAGACATTGAAGGGAGATAATGGTAGGATTCTTCCAATTAAAGTGTTTGGCTGTGTGTGCTTTGTGAAGGACAACAAGCCATCTGTCGGGAAGCTTGCCCCTAGAGCTGTGAAGTGCATCTTTGTTAGATATTTTGCTACTTAGAAGGGATATGTTTGCTGGAGCTTGGTGGAGAAAAAGGTTGTTTGTGAGCATGGATGTGCACTTTCGAGAACTCGAGCCATATTACAACCAGAAGGTAACTTCATCCATTGGTAACTCGCCCAATACTAGAAGTATGAGGTGAGAGGAGGGGAATGATAAGAGATCGGTGAACAATGTGGAGAAATTCATTTCTGTATCGATTCCTTGGGAGGGAGAATTGGTTGAGGAGGAGCAGGAGAATGATAAAGAAAAGGAAAATGAGACAAGAGATGTTAGGCCCACTGTTCAGGGGGAGCTACTAACCTATAGTAGGAAGGGAAAGCAAATTACAGGAACAGTACCTACAGTGTCACTAGTGCTGCCACGTCTCTTGCCAACGCCTGCCCCGACTCCTAAGACACCTACACCACCACCAGTTTCATCCCAAGGTGATAACATTCATCTCCCTACTCCTCCCACACCAATATCAGTACGGAGGACTACTCGTAGTAATGCGGGAAATCCTCCCGATAGATATGGATGAGATCTTACTCAGTTTGTATCATATTCTAACATTCATCCTGCATATAGAGTATTCATTGCATCATTGGACTCTGTTACTGTACCTAATAATTGGCAGGTTGCTAAGAAGGATCCAAAATGGAAAACGGCTATGCACGAAGAGCTAGGGGCTCTTGAGAAAAACCGTACTTGGGAGTTAGTAAAACTACCAAAAGGAAAGAGAGCAGTTAGATGCAAGTGGGTCTTCATTGTGAAGCAGAATCCAGATGGACATGTTGAGCGTTATAAAGCTCGTCTTGTGGCAAAAGGGTATAGTCAGACGTATGGAATCGATTATGATGAGACTTTTGCACCGGTGGTGAAAATGAGCACTGTTCGGACCTTGATCTCTCTGGAAGTAAATGGTGGATGGAAGCTACACCAACTAGATGTGCAGAATGCATTCCTTCATGGAGATCTGATGGAAGAGGTATACATAAAAATACCACCAGGATTCGATACAGATCAGACAGTGGGCAAAGTTTACAGATTGAAGAAGTCTCTTTATGGCCTGAAGCAATCTCCTCGTGCTTGGTTCGATAGATTCAGGCGGGCTATGATAGGTATGGGATACTAGCAGATTAACGCTGATCATACCGTGTTCTTTCGACGGAGTGAAGGTCACATCACCATGCTTACAGTATATATGGATGATATGATTATTACAGGGGATGATAAGAAGGAGATTGCCCAACTCAAAGTAAGACTAGGTAAGGAATTTGAGGTGAAAGATCTGGGTTTGGTTCGATACTTTCTTGGAATAGAGATAGCTCGAGGAGCGGAGGGGATCGTCCTATCCCAGAGAAAGTATGCACTGGATCTTCTCAAAGAGACAGGGATGTTAGGATACAAACCTGCAATTACACTGATCGACCAAAGGTTCAAGCTGGGTACTGAAGCTGGAGAACCAGTTGATCATGATAGATACCAAAGGCTAGTGGGCAGGTTGATCTATCTAAGTCACACACGTCCTGATATTTCTTTTGCAGTGAGCGTGGTGAGTCGCTACATGCACGATCCAAGGAAGGGTCATATGAATGTAGTATACCAGATTCTGAGGTATTTGAAGAGTGCCCCAGGAATAGGGCTGATATTCAGGAAAAATAAACATATGAGTATTGAGGGTTACTGTGACTTGGATTGGGCTAGCTGTGCTGATGACAGGAGATCCACCTCAGGATACTGTATCTTCATAGGAGGCA